TCGAAAGGTCGTCGCCAACCATGGGCACATAAGCCGCCAGCGTTGGACTTAAGTTCTGTTGGGCAGCAACCGTCGCAACCGCCGATGCTCGAAGAAGTGTACTTTAGCGACAACAACTCTTCACCGCGTCCACGTCAGGGCCGGAAGACCATCACTATTGATCAGTGGGCTAATATGACTACTTAGCCGGTGACCCTGCCCACATGTTACGACAACTACCCGGTGTGGCTGTGTCACCTGAGAAGGCGTTTGAGACGCGAAATAAGATCATGCGCAAGGCCCTAGTGGACCCTGAGATTGATAACACAGACAAACTGGTGATAAGAGTCAATCAACAAATTGATAAAGGACTAATCACGCACGAGTTATCAACTAACATTATTACGAGCTGTGTAATGTACGGCAAGGAAGGCACGATGCGGCGTATCGAATCGGGTACAATACTGAAGCCCATTAACGTAAACCTCAGTTCACGAAAGAAACCCGAACCGCAAATCGAAGCCACACACAACCCACGTCTAACTACAACTCGAATGCGTCAAAGAAGAAGAACCAACAACCGAATCAGAACCAGATCGACGGGCCAGCTATTCCAGGCCGACGGAAACTACGAAGAACTGGACCCAAGGGACTAAATAGGAGATTGGCGGGCGTCCGGTTAAGGTGGATGGTTGGCCATCAAGCAATTCAGGTTCTAGTACGCGCACATCAGCGCGCGGTGATGAAGATTCGAGTTGACACTCGTTTCTGGTGGTGTGCCTTTTGCTTGACTATAGCAATCCTCACCGACACGGAAGACGCTGCCGCAATAGCTGAGCTGGGAGAGCGCAAGACTGAAGATCTTGAAGTCCCGTGTTCGATCCACGGTTGCGGCAATATCCTGCAGTCCGTTTTTGTTCACACGCTCCAAAGTTAGCGCGTGTCTCTGGTTCTTGGCTGGTGTGTGTTACGCTTGGTGCGGCAACAAGTCAACTCGCACTTCCTATTCCTGCCACCCCGATGTTCGTGGTCACAGCGTGGACGAACTTACTCTTTTTTAAGCACGTCTGTCCTCTCTCAATTTCAGCGATTGGTCGAGCGCGGGATCGAACCGTGGACTTTCAGTTTATTAGACTGACGCTTTTTTCCCTTGGGGTGAAAGTGTCGATACCTGCATAAGAGCACTGTCTCAACTTCGGTGA